AATTAAAATAATAAAATATATAGAAAACAATAAAAATTCTCACGTTTCGACCATAACACAAACGGTCATCATCAGGTGTGATGACGACCGTTTGTGTTATGGTCGAAACGTCGTGAGAATTTTTTTTATTGTTTTATATATATTTTATTGTTTCCCTTCAACGTGGTGACTTTACCGAAAGAGCTAAGAATACATCAATAGTTGGTGAGAAGCCACGGCCTTGTGACACGTGGATACGAATCGTTTGCATTTACAGCATGAAACAAGTCATCAATGAGAATATTTTCTTGCACTCACTATACATGTATCGAATCATGCGCATGAGAAAGGATTGTGTACACTGTGAATGATCAGAATCTGAATATTTATTTATACTGGAATCCGATGAGCTATAAAGCTCTTTTTTTCACAGATGTCCAGCAGCGGTGGGTCAGAACGTCACAATTATATGCGAATGATTGGAATATGACTATGAAAACAAGATCGAATAAGCAACAGCACAAATGAAATGGTTACATGTGAGATGGAAAAAAAATACATTCTTGAATTGAATCACGATTCTGCATCATGCCAGATCATCAAACGTAGTGGAGGGGGGTGAATCATTGTGCCGACAAAACACACTGTAGAGTCTCCTCATTTGGAATTCCAGGAAGTATTTGACAGCGATCAGTAACCTCAAAATGGGCTGCTTGTGGTCAAATGATTATAATTACAATTGCCATGTGCTGCTCAGAACGTGACTAATGCTTGGTGGCAGCGCCCGCTTTCATGAGTCCTTCGACTCATGAAAGCTACGGCTCCTTGTTTCTTCCTTTGCTTTGGCTGAGTCTTTTAGGCTTCAGGAAATCAAACACAATGCAGCTAGAGGCTTATTTGGGAGAAGAGGCTTTCAAGCCACAGCATAGACTCAAGACAGTAATGTGCTGATGATACCTAATAATGGAGAACCTCGTGCAATTGCCATACACTATAGCAGGGATACAGTGCTGAGAAAAAGTGTGTGAACCCCTTAGGATTTTCATATATTTTACATATTTCAAACCTAAAATGTTATTAGATCTTAATCTAAGTCTGATAATAAATAATATGAATCCCTGCAGTCACGAAAGCTTTAAATAAAAAAAATAACCTGATTAAACAAATGACACAAAACATACTATTTTAATATTTATCCTCAAATTATTCTAAATTTAATGACCATGTGTGAAAAGGTATGTGAACCTTTAGATTCAGTAATTGGTGACACTTCCTGGGACAGCAACGAAGCATTTCCTCTAACCGTTGGTCAGTCTCTCACATCGTATTTGAGGAATTTTGGCCAATTCCTCCTTACAGAACTTCAACTCGGTGACATTTGAGGGTTGCCTTGCATGGACAGCTCGCTTCAGGCCCTGCCACAACATTTCAATGGGGTTTAGGTCCGGACTTTGAAGAGGCCATTGTAAAAGTGGAATTTCTTCTGCAGCCATTCGTTTGTAGATCTGCTTGTATGTTTAGGATCATTGTCTTGCTACAAGACCCACTTTCGGGTTAGGTTCAGCTCACGGACAGGTGACCTGACAATCTCCTCTAGAATCTTCTGATACAATGCATAAATCGCGGTTGTGTCAATGGTGGCAAGCCGTCCAGGTCCTGAGCCAGCAAAACAGCCCCAAACCATTACATTCACACCACCATGCTTCACGGTTGGGATGAAGTTCTTGTGTTCGAAAGCAGTGTATGATTTTTGCCAAAATTTGCTACCTTTGCCTCGTTTGTCAAGAGAACACTGTTCCAGAAGTCTTGTGGATCTGTGTGCTCTTTGCGAATTTGAGACGGGCAGCAATTTTCTTTTTGGAGAGCAGTGGTTTTCTCCTTGCTATCCTTCCATGAAAACCATGGTTGTTATATATTTTTTTCTGATAGTTGAGGCATGAACACTCGCATGTATGGTGAAGATCAAACTCAAAGTTTCTGATCTTTATACCGGGTGGTGCCTCCTAAACTCACCTCTGAAGATCTACCTTTAAACACCGGATTCGAATGACTACCTTGAGCTAATGAAACCAGGGGTTTACTTACTTTTTCACATACCATAAACCTTAGTTACTCAGTGTAATTCATTCATCATTTTGTTTTAAAAAAAAACATGGAAATGGTGAATTTAAACCCTATTAGATATTTAAGAAAATACCGGTTTTGATTCAAGAAGGCTATACCATAAAACTATGGAATGCCCATAATTATCATTGGGGTTCATAAAAAACATTTCTCGGCACTGTATACTGCAATGACATCTAAGAGTGGCAAAGAGGTTACAGCTATTGTCATCTAGGAAAAGAGGTCTGTACTGATTCCAAATCAGGGTGAAATCATTACACAGCTACCACCTTGCTTCATCATGTTAGTGGGCTTCTCATACGATGTTGATGCGCTTCTTGCTTCATGCACTGTTGAAACCTCAACGTGTATTACGATACCGTTTTTGATATTGCCTAAGACTGCTCGTCACTGACGTGTTACCCTAAACTAAAACAATGGTGCAACAGTTAAAAAAATATATATCTTATAATCACTCATGCGATGCTCAATTCTATACTTTGTGTACTGCTCACGTAAGTGTACGAGTGAACAACAATCAACACAATACTGGTCGTGAAAGCCAATGTGTCAAACTAACAAGCGACACGTGTTATAAAGCGACATGTGCATACATTTTCAGTTAAATTTCACAAGCTGCGCAGGTCTTGAAACTTGAACCACCCTTAAAGTTCGATTCCAGGCCAAAAATAACGCCAGTGGTTCGTGATGTTTCAAATGGTCCTGGGCACTATCCCTCTTCACCAACCAAGCCCTGACCGACAGAGCATTTGAAGGTCTTCCTCCAGCAGTGAATTTACAAAGGTGTGATTATATTAAATAAAATACAAATGAACTGGTCCAAAGCCACGTTTGAAAAACACTCATGCATTCAATGATTGGCAATTGTTTCTTTTATTAATTTATATCAGCGCCAGGTGGTTGTGTGACAAGGCACTTAACTCACAATTAGAAAGTCGTTATTTCAAATCACTATCAGGAGTTGACTAACCCCATCATCCCTTCTTGTCAATAAACTAAGGACCACTTTGAAGTCAACAGTGGTTGTCCCATAAACAGAACGTTCCATATCAAAGGAATGTGGAATATCCAATGCTTTATCAGAGCTGCTCGCTTGCGCAGGAAGATATTAGTATTTTGCTTTTATTTATTCATATTTGAATGGCCCTCTCCAAAATGCCCAATACAGCAAGCGGAGCTAAACGTACAATGCACGGGGCTGCTCAGTTGCGGGATAGCAATTTCACTATCATAATGAGCAAATAAATTTCAAGTAAATTAATCTCCCTGCTCAAACAAGCTTTGAGGTATTCTTAGTTTTTTCGGTAAAGTCACGTTGAAGGGAAACAACAAAATAATAAAATATATATAAAACAATAAAAAATTCTCACGACGTTTCGACCATAACTCAAACGGTCGTCTTCAGGTGTGTTGGTTTGCATAAATACACACCTGAAGACGACCGTTTGAGTTATGGTCGAAACGTCGTGATAATTTTTTGTTATATATATTTTATTATTTTGTTGTTTCCCTTCAACGTGACTTTACCGAAAAAACTAAGAATATGAATTACTGCAGTCACGAAAGCTTTAAATCAAAATTTAAGCTTTGAGGTGTTGCCCACCTCTATTATCTGGCCCACTGGTGGAATTTCCACATTCACAAGGCAGAGACACATAAGATAATCACGGTTGACATTCCTTAAAGATGGTGGTCATTGTATCATCCCTGTAGCAAAGATAGGCTCAATTAATCCATGACTTGGATTTTGATTCAATCGCTGGACTTGTGAATCAAGCACTCAAACCATACTTCCACCTTGCCAAAAAGACTAACGCAGTGCAGACCATGATTTGCTCTGAAAAGTTATATTTGGAAGATTAATGGATAACCAAGCTTTTCCCCTTCATCTACAGAACAGTGACATTTCCATAATCAAGATTGATGCAGACCATGAACACAAAACTCTAATTTACAATGTACACAACAAGCACACCCAATCAGTGATAACAAATGGTTGTGTAAAGCCAAACAGCTGTTTACCACCAGGAACATGACCATATGTACGATATTCTTGGTTCTTTCGGTAAAGTCACGTAGAAGGGAAACAATAAAATAATTGTTTACCGAAAGAACCAAGAATATTAATCCCTGCAGTCACGAAAGGTTTAAATCAAAACATATGTACGATGTTAAATGTTTGTGAGCCAATTGCTCACAACTCCACCTTGTGAGCAATTGGCTCACAAGGTGGAGTTAAAATCCTTGTCTGCTGTTAACTCAGCCTATTATCGTTTTAGAACCAATACGATCGGTACCACTTTGTCTGCAGTGAACAGTGATGGTCCTGTGGACAAGGGGAATGTGGAATTTCCACTTTTGGCTGGGTAAGATAATTGCAATCCAATTGCGCGCACTACTTATGATTAACCTTTTTGGTGTTACGGCCCACCTCAGAGGGCCCTATATAACACAACACATACAGCAAAGTCTGGGTTGGCTTGGACTTAGCATAGCATCCCATAATCACTGTGGCAGTGAGGCAACATCCGCCATCAAGATGCCATCGCGAACCTAATAAAGGTGGAATTGGTACAACACACAGCTTTGATTTTTATCCTGCAGCAACATATAGCCACGATCCTGATTGTAGTGAAGCTAATAGACTTTACAAGCACAAGCCCAAAAATATCTCACCACTTTCATAATTAATTCTGCCTTAAAAAAGAAAAAATTAAGAAGGGCCATCGCCCAATGCATATGAGTACAGAGTAGAGAGATTGGGAGAATTTTAAAGAATAGTTGAGAATTTACAAACTGAACGTTTTTCAGATGTCAATAATGAGTAGTAACAACTTACATTTTATTTGAGTTTAACCTTACAAAACTGTTTGCTGGCACTACATGCGATTGATTTTGGATGGAATTTCCACAATCCTTTGTAGATCTTATGGCTTTTGTTATCAACAGAATGACAAGATCAATTAAGGCATGTTAGACACCATGATGACATACAATGCTATGTATCACAACAACCTGCTAACGACATAAACAGCGTATGGTAATTTTTGTAAATATCTGGCTCTGTGCCTCCTGTTGTAATTGTCAACCATGGAATTCACTATACTGGCAAAAATCAGCAGCAAGCAGTGTCTGCAATTGAATCTCTTTGTCACTTCAGTTTGACGATGTGGATACACCTCAGAAGCACATTGATGAGTATTGTTCGACAGAGGAGAAGTGATTCTATGGTTTGATATTCATGGTGGCAGCTATGCAAGTTATAGCACAGAGACGGTGAGTCTCCAGCAGGAACGCTGAATATTTAATTATTATTCGTGCAAAGTGAGGTCACGCGAAGGTTAATGGGCCTCAATGTGAAGTACTTCAATCACTCAGCCAGGCTGATGGTAGTCCTTGCTCCTCATGCTCAAGGCCCTATCTCGAACCCCAAGTAGTACATTTTGAGACTTCAGGAACTAGTCTCAAAATATGACTAAATGTTGAATAATAATAATTAAAGAGACAATAGATGTAGGCTTCAGTATGAGTCAAAATATTACAGGCCAATCCTAAAGAGTCAAATTGCCAGACTTTCTAAAAAGTTTGGGAATACTTTAGAAGAGCCAAAAATCAGGGACCTGAGTATTGAAAACGTCCCATCAGGCTGCGATTGTAGTAGGCTATGAAACAACGTAAGATAAACTCTATAAACATTCAAAGGAAATATGGGTGCTGTAATGAGATTGCAACCTTATGGCCGCGTCAGTGGTTTCGACGGATCACCACTCCGACTACACCAGCCAATTACCTGCCAGGAAGACAACCCCCATGCAACATCGCCACCATGACGTCACTCATGTAACATGGCTGGCAAGACGTCATTCCTCTGTGCACTTCAGCCAATCTATGGCTGAGGTGTATATGTTTGTTTTTAATATTGACGATCCATTATCCACTTTAATATTCATGGTATTAATGTTAATAATATAAATGTTGTCACCAAAATGTTAAGTCATTCATTACCGTTGTTTTTTTGCAGACATTGCTCAGCGACTTACGAGTGGGTCCCAATCACTGAACTTTTATCCTATCTTTACGATGCTTAAATGTCTGAACTTCCCTCGCGGGAGTTAGTTACGAAAAGTCGGCTTACACAATTTATAGAACTTTGTACGTCATTCTGTACTCAGGCCCAAGTTATGACACGAGAATTCCGGTTGTCTTCATAAAGATGAGGTATTTTATAAACATTAAGAGGAAGTGTGAGTTAACGAGAAATGTTTTTTTTAGAAAAGAGTACTATATACATTTATACTCTTAGCTATATATGCAATTACATATATATTCATTGTATGAATAAAGATGTTCCGAATTTATATCACAAATGATAGTTGCATTGCATCACAAGATGGATACATTTAATTCTAGAATGCTCTCAGTCAGAAGCGCACAAAAATCTCGATTGAAAACTAATTTTTTTAGAACTGTTTTTTGTGTTTAGTTTGTTATCCTTACCCCGCACCTCCAATTAGCACCATTGGCTACGTGCGGTGGAAAATAAGTTCAACATACATACATCCATACGGGAAATGTCACAGGAGATAACCCCACAGAACGCTTCTTGGAGTCACTTCAGCGAACCTTTTAACACAAAAGTGCTCGTTCATGCCTTTTAAATAGTGTTAGTCACATTTTAATAATCTAATATGTTCGTCCTCGGAGCAGAAATATTGCAAATTATATGAAGATGTGCAATGTAATGTGATTAATATTTGTGACTGGGCAGAATCCATCCACAAGTGGTGGTTGAAATACACATATTTCAAATCAGGTTGTTAAAGCTTTAACGCTGGCATTAGCACCCTGAGCCACCCAAACCCCAGTACATCGTTTTTTAAGACCGAAAGATCAGTTCTTGAGACTTGATTTCTTGAGGCTCAGAGTACTTGCGATGAATTCGTTGGAAAACTCTCCTTCTGAGACATGGGATGTGCAGTTTTGGCGACGGAGACTGGATGGGCAGGTCGGTGGACAGGAAAGCTATGATGAATGCCTCCTCCTACTTCTGCAGCTTATGCATGAGCCACTCGTACAGCTGAGGTTTATCCCTGTGGGGAGAGTGTTCCAGCAGAATTGTGCGGAATTGCACCAACATCTTGAACACTTCACCTACGAAAGTGGAAGGCAGAGGGAGAAGGCAGTCAGGCAGTGTGAGTGCAGTTCATGAATTAATTCAATACATTAAGTCACTTCACGATCATCAATTGAGGAACTATAAACAGGTAGCTGAGTAAGCTTTTAAAATGCCCATATTTTTCCGTGGAAAGCCGAACCGAGTCTTAAGACTCTATCAAGCAAGTCCTGCATTTTAGTGTCACAAGTTTCACTTATGAGCTGTTGGGAAAGATGGGAATAAACAGGCTTAACTCAAGAGAACCCCCATTTACTCAAGGTGTCTCACAGATAGATTAAATAATCCAATGTACTATAATCTCTTTGTCACCTTGCAGCCCAAGCCTACCACACCCAACATTCCTCATCCGTCTCCCATCCAAGAACTAAGCTCAACTTGCTTAGCTTACAAGATTAAATGACATTGGGCGAAGGGTGATTTGGTCATGGGCTTTTGACTGTCCTAAATTGTCAAAGTGTTGCTGTAATCAAACAACACATGCACTCCTTTGTCAGGGACCAAATGAAAATGACTCCCTTCTGAAACACACGGGCCAGTGTTTCTCTTTCATTCATGACTTTAAAGCAGGGGTGGAAATTCCAGATTTCTATGGCAAGAGCTAGTCATTCTATAGGGCATCCACAATAGATTTCAAACAGGACACAAAGCGCACAGCCTTCGTGCATATGCAAAACACCAGTTATCTTCTAGTATTACATCCCCATCAAATACATTTTGAGTAAAGATGAAATTAGTTCGCTCACAATGCACTTCTTCAGGATATTCTGATGGTTTATTTGCATATGCAAAATGGCTGCATAATTTTTACACATTTTGTGTCTTGTTTGAAATGTATGACATCTAGTCTGCACGATTATTGTGTTATGATGATCAATTACAGATTGTATTGCACCACTAGACTTTACACTTAGAGGTATGCATTACACAGACCCCAGAAGGATAAAGGACTGAGTCAGTATGAAAAAAAATATTTTACCCTTTTTGTAAATAAAACAGAAGTTGTTAAGATGTTCAAACAGCAACTACAAAACCTTTTTCAAGAAAATCATGTCTGCATTAACCACACACAGTACTACTTGTGGTGAACATGCAAACAAAAACATCATCAGTAATGGAAGCCGACAGGTGGCTCTGCATATTTTGGGCAACTTTTTGGTCAATTTGGGCAGTTTTCAAGAGGCCAAGTCCCAGATAACAACATAATCTGGTGGCAGCGCTGCATTGAGCACAATTCTTGTCATTTACAGATGCGACTGTTGTCTCTTGCTGTTAATTTGTAAAGTTAAATACACCTAATATATGTTAATTTGAAAAAGAGTAATCTTAAAAATGTGTGCCGAAGTTACCTTCAGTGTGTGGTAAAGCAGCTTGCCAGGTGGCAATTCGGAGTTGGAACGTTATGAATGACCGTTTCTGAGTGACTCAGTCTCTGCAAAAGGTTTCTAAATGGTGTTTGAACATCTTAACAACCCTGTTTTATTGCCAGACAGGGTAAAACCTATTCTTATTTTTTCATGCTTTGACACTGGAAAAAAAAAGGTCCCATGTTGTAGCTGCTCATCCCGAGCTATAAATTCCCTGATAGTGCATTGTCTTTGTACTATTTAACACGTAGGCTTTCGCGACCAACGTCATCCATAATACAAGTTTTTTTTGGGTTATAGCACGTAAATGTAAAATGTGAGGAATTTCCACCACCGGCTGAAGGTTTCCAATGAGGATAACCACCGTGAGATGTTAACTACCCCGCCTGGTATACATGAGATAGTGGGTTCGATCACGACCCTGATGCCTGTATGTTTGGAATTTGCATGTTCTCTCTCCCCGTACTCGTGTGGATTTTTCTCTAGGTCATCTGGTTTTGCCCTACGCATTTAGAAACATGCGTTGAGAGTATTCGGTTGCTATAAATTTACACATAAGCCACTTCGTTGACCGATCATTTGTGGCAAGGCCGCTTTTGAAAAAGAGCTATATAGCTCAGTGTAAAATAAAAAAATAGTTTAGTTTTAATAGTAACCTGTGCTGAGTGCTACGGTGCCCAATGCTGCTCGCTGGGGGCTGTGCGTGAACCCTACCGACGGTGCGGTCCTGGTTTTGGAGGAAGCCGTGGATGTTGCGGAAATCGTCCTCGAGATTGCGGTCCCCAAATGTGAAGTAGGCGATGTCTCGCCCGGCCTCCGACGCTGCCAGCATCTGCAGCAGTGCTGACGTCGCAAGGGCATGATCGGGATTTATTCTCATTGCAATCTATAAATGTCTTACCCCATGGCACACCACGGGAAGGGGAGTAGTAAGGTGCGTAAGAGGAGCAGAGAAGGCAAGATGACCGGGAATCGGAAGGGATGCCAGGACAGAAGTCCCCAAGGCAGACGAAGGGGAGTAGTAAGGTGCGTAAGAGGAGCAGACAGGGCAAGATGACCGGGAATCGGAAGGGATGCCAGGACAGAAGTCTCCAAGGCAGACAAATACTGCACGGCTCAAGATAACCAGCAGCAAGAAAGGAGGAGTGCCGGGCAGGAAGGGGGGGAGGAGGAGGAGGAGGAGAAAGCAATGACCGGGCCAAGACGTCAGGGATGAGAAGAAGAGAGGGGGAAAGAAGGTGCAAGCAGAAATGAGCTGCACGGAGCATCGTCTGTTTTCACAAGTGGAGGGAAGAGGAGAGGGATTCATAGCGAGGATGGTCACATGTAGGGTCATGTGATTTACGGGACGTTATAACCGGACATCCACCAAGGAGATTGAGCATTGCAATCCAGCCCTCTTTTGAACCTAAGGGCCTCTTAACAACATGATGCCTGGCTATCCGACCAATGTACTTCATGTTTACACTGGGGGAAGGGCACTTACATGTTCACATAGGCAACTTACTTTGCATCTTGCACATACAATCTCAAGACTCGCTGATATTGGTGCTGTTCACACTCCTCCACTATGGAACTAAATGCCAATTATCCAAGCAAGCAGTGGATTCACCTTGGCTGATGATGATGATGATGAAGAAAAAGATAACTGTAATGGGAAGGCAGAGTTAAAGTGAGGGTGTCACCTTTCAGCCGCTTGTCACCTCCGAAAGCGCCGCAGCCCCAATTTCCAGTGGCCACGGGAGGGAGGGAACCAGCGGCATCGGGGCAGCTGAATCCACAGAAGGCCTGCATGCAAAGGAGGAGGCAGCGCCGAGCTCAACGCTTGTTAAAAAAACCGCACCTCCGATGAGCACGGTTGGCTAGGTACAGTGCGAAAGAAGTTCAACAAACACACAGACCCACAAACTGTGCGACGACACGGCCTGGTGGTAGCGCATTCGTCGCTTGTTGCAGAGGTTCACGGTTCGAATCCACCGGTCGCCCCTGGTTATTACTGCGGTGTGTATTTACCATGACAAGACTACGAGCCATCTGCTTCGCAGCGCACATTAAAGATACCCTTAAGGTCCAAATGTGCATTCAATCCTTCTTAAACTGTCCCACCATCAGGACATTCTATGATAAAATAACCGATCTGTACAACGTAATATCTGGCACCGAGATACTACCTCGCATTGGATCCTCCCTCCTGGGCCTTAAACCCCAAGGTATCACCAGTTACCAACATACCCTTCTCCAAGCATTTAACATTTCGGTTAGAAAGACCATCCTGAGCTCCTGGAAGAATCATGGGGCCCCATCATTCACCCTATGGCACAACTCTCTATTCACTCTAGCAGCTTTAGAACGCCTGAGTCTGAAACTGAAGAATAGGGAAGGGGAGTTCACCCAGATCTGGGGCCCCCCTGTGAATGCCACTCCAGAGACCCTGAGTTCACTTGACTGAACTTGAAATGAGACTGACTCCCCCTTCCTCTTTCCCCCTTCCTTCCCCGAAGAAAAGGGATCTGACACACGTATCACATAACGCTACGGTCCTACCGTCCGCGTTGGTTGTCTGTCCGAGCCGCCTATCCCGCTATGCACTACTCACCTATCGCGGAAGTTGTACACCCCACCCCCGCCTCCCCCGTGGTTGGATCAATAAAAATAATTTTCCAAAAAAAAGATACCCCAACGACGTCGCTCGCAAGAGAGAGCTGTTGTGTGCCGGCGTCAGGGTGAAAATATGCCAAATTCTAAAATTACCTGGGAATATAAAGACTAATGCCCCAGGTCACTCTTGCAAATGAAACACAGTGACAATGCTTGAAAACGCTTGAGTTCTTACCTGGTTAAACACAATTGCCACAAATAACCTTGAAATTCATACACCTGGACAGACTCAGAAGTATAAGCTACACGTGCCCACACGTGTACTCTACTCTGTAACATCTGTACCGTGGCAAGATGCCCATAAAATAGAGCCTAACAATCTATTGGGCCGTTTATGCTAAAATAAATAAAATCTATCTAAAATCTATTTATGTTATCTAGATCATACCTCATGTTTCTACACAGATCCATACACTTATATAGACAGATCCAAATATATTACCTACACATGCCAATACATCTAATTTCATGGACATAGATCCCCTTGTTTTTTTACCTGACCAGGTAAAGACCATTGAGCTATTAGCGTCTTGATAAGCGACATGGCCACCAATTACAGCTCAACAAGGAGGCTTATCACGTGCAAATTTATAACAGCCATATAATCGAAACGGACATTGATTCTAAATGTGAAGGGAAAAAACGGAGGACCAGGAGAAAATCCCTGCAACCATGGGGAGAACTTGCAAACTCCAAATATACAGGCGTCAGGGTCGGGATGGAACCCACGACCTCCTCCAAACCAGGCGAGGGAGCTAACATCTCCCCACCATGAACAGATTCTTGGGGCAAGTTCTGTTTGCGAGCACCAATGAATGCAAGCATGGCACACGAGGGGGTGAGTGGCCAGGACCACACCCAGTCGCCTTTGCCTCCCCAGTTGTGATGTGTACATGCCGCACCAGGTACTCATTTCAGGCTGCGTCAACCTAGAACCGGTTTAGATATTCGTCATTAATGCCAGTAACGAGTGGAAATCGAACACTAATCACCGGGCTGTTAGCGCTACACCACTAGACTGCAAAACTACACTACTACATGTGCACACATGTATACACCAAGAAGGCTGTCTCTAGACAGACCCATACAAACTGCCAGGAATCTAAGACAGATTCCCCCAGATATAGAGTCCTCCCCACGTGACAGTAAAGACCGTTCCCTCCCAAGTGTCTAGACAGACTCCACATATTAAAATACACCTCCAAGTATGACAAGCAGCAGGCATGTAACGATGCATCATGATCAATGCGTTCAATCTAGCACGTATTAACCTGCAAATTAAGTTATATAGGAATATGCATTTTTAGCGAATGCGTTTTTCGGCTATACACTGTTTACCTAATGAGGTTTGTTTTCCGGAACACGTGGTGATGTTTCGGCTATACCCAGTTTGACGGTGTATGTGTGAATGAACTGACTGTCAGAAGGATTTACAGTATTTACCATGCATGTTTTCGTGTGTGTATGTTTTTCTGTGATAATTATGTAACACAATCAAAATGCACAGCGGCAGAATGCAAATGTTCACACGTTGTCGCATGCATCCTGGCCATCCACTCATTGAGCCTGCGAGTCGACAGACGCCTAGATGGTGAATCATTAACACGCTGGACAGGAAAACGGCACCGTGGCACAACGTAAATGTTCACAAAAGTTGCCACTTGATTTAGTCATCCAGTCTTTTGAGAATGCAAATCAGACGGACGCCTGGATGGCGAATCTTTAACATGACAGTGTCAGGGACAACCGTCGGGCGTGAGTGCCGCAGTACGAGATAGACGGGGGATTTGTGTCGAGGTGAAATTGAAAATTAAAGAGTGTACACACACACAATAACCGAAGAGCACCTCAGCATCCCTCATAATAATAACAAGTGTGGAAATTATGTAGAATTAGTTCAACAATGAGGGAGAGGTTATAATTTTAAATTCAGGACGCAACCAAGTCTTTTCCACTGAGGTCTATTATTTGTCGAACATGGTTTTGCCCAACACGGCTATTTCCAGGAACGTAACCCCCGCGTTCGACGAGGTTTGCCTGTATTTCGCACAATGGGTTTTAACAAATCCGTGATCACAAAACGACTACGGTAGCAAGACAACAACAAAAATGAGAATCAATACAAAGGAGATAAAAACCCAATACATTCTTGAATCACATCACAACACCAAATCGCTGTGCTCACCTTGTTGACTTCCCGCTCCAGCTTTTGCTGCTCAAACTGCTCGACGTAGCCGTAGAAATGGATGGCGTCAATGGCGACAATCTCCGTTTGCCGGCGCATCCATGAGTCGCTGTGCAACGACACGGCAGGCCACCCCCAAGCATCAGCACCAACCCGCTAGAAAGCCACCAAGAGTGCCGTCGTCGGCATCACCGTGACCGGCACTACCGGCAACGCCAGCTCATCACCGCTGACATCATCACTTTCAGCACCATAATCAGCACCATCGCGATCATCATCATCATCATTACGAAACCAGCATCCACAGCAGCAACATTGCCACCATCGGCCATCACGACCACCGCCATTACAACCCCCATTCGCAGCAGCACTACCGCAACATCACCTATTCAGCGGAGAATGTTATATAATCAATCTTGGTCATGTATATTTGGCTGTTGAACATTAGTTTTGTGTATCGTTACCAAGGGAAGTAGACTGAAGCGAGTGTTTTGTGTAAAAGAGAGAGAGAGTGCGACAGGGACTGTTTGTGTTTGAAACGTGTCGGCCTTCATGGCTGCTCACTTACACCACTTTCCCCAAAAAGTCTGTTCAGGCGATACGGTGAACCTGTGTAGTTGTAGGAAGCGGTGGTGCAGCAGTTATGAACCCGACAACCCAAGTTCGATTCCTGCTCACGGCCAACCCCAGTGACAATTATGCAAACCTAGGTCTATTCAGCCTCAAATGAGAACCTGGTGCATTATGTGACCATTGCCACTAGACAGACAGAGGTGGTCGGGCATGGTGCTGGCTACCCACCTTGTATCCCGTGCTGGCCTTCAAACAGTACTTGCCCCAACAGTCTGTTAAGGCTATAAGGGGGATTCTCTGTATTTGCGTGTATATCAGAGGTCTGGTGAAACAAACTCCCTCAGCCTCAAGGTGCCAGATGGCAACACATCTGCCTGTCATGTCAATCAGTTAACCCACAGCACTTGGGTCTGTCTTGTGAGCTTCTGTCAGCGAACCTTTAACGCTGCACGTGACCTCAATTGTTAACCTGGCACAAGCCCTGCATTGACGTCACCATCACTGAGCGGTCAATGGCTGCTGCTGCCGCTGTTGTGTGCGTGCACACACGTGTGTGCGTGTGCGCAGCGTTTGTATGTGCGTGGATGCACGTGGATGCGTGTGTGTCTATGTGAATGTACGTGATTTACAGGCGAAAACGAGAGAAAGGAAGGGTGACATTTCATACCGCGGCGTGTCGTCCACATGTGGCCCGTTACACCTGAAGGTATCTCCATATCCCGTGTAATTACTGAAGCGCTCCGTTCCTGAACATCACACGAACAAAAACACATATCCCACCTTTAGCCTTAAGAGACCGCTTCGACAACAGTTGTTAGGAACAACTGAAGGCCAGTACATCACTTTAGGGCAGTGGTTCTTAACCTGCTCTTTCTCGGGGTGCGAGACATGCCATATTTTTTTAGAAGGTAAATCATCGAAACACAAATTAAGCACGGGCACATAAGTTTGTTTCATCAACCTTATGTATTTATTAACATTTTGTTTTACGATGGAGAATTCAAAAGGGTGCAAGGCTGCAGTAAAGATTAAGAACCACTGCTTTAGGGGATGGTGTAGCCAGATCTAATCCCAGCCACCTCTGTTTCGTCAGCACTATTGTTCATACTCAACCGAGCCGTATTATAAGTTTAGTCTGAGTCGACTCAGAGGAGGCTATGAGAAGCCCATGACAGGAAGCACAAAGGCACTGCTCCCAAATATGTCACACTCACGGTTACAGGTGTTCCGCTAATTAACCAGGTAAAAGAGCACACTGAGACCAGGAGTCTTTTTTTTGTAGGGATAACTCGAGTAAAATAAATGAAATCTGTAGGGACAAGAAATAATATGCAGACTGATACAAGGCCCAGGTATTCCTTGTGTGTTGGGTTCTACGGAGGCACACACTTCAATTTGGAGGCAACACATTTATTACACAACCCCAACAGGGTAACTACATAACGTAACAACGGTTAACTATACCACGACGGAGTAAACTACAAAACTGTGTCAGTCAGCCAACACACTGCCTGACCCATGATGGCGAACGTGATGACCGAAAACCGAGCATCCAAGAGACGTAGCAACGATGGGTTTCATTCGAGCAGACAGCCGCGATTGCTCTCGGGACTTCCCTTTTATGCTCCCGAGCGTGGCCTCGCTCCGCTTTCGGTCACGCCCCCTTCTGGATCTTACCAGAAGGGGGCGTGGCCTCACTCCGCTTTCGGTCACGCCCCCTTCTGGATCTTACCAGAAGGTTCTCGACCGAGCATCACGTGTCCCTCAAGCCACCCTTTGGGCCCCCTCGCTACTCTGTCCCGTGCCCTCTCGGGTTCATCCAGACTGTCACGTCCTCACTTGCCCTCTCTCTGACCCTCACCAGAACCATGCGCTCTAGGGCCCGCTTCCATGCCATACCTACTCTGGTGCCAGAGACAGGCTCAAGACGCACAGTTCCACTCTTGTGACAGTAGCTGGCACTAACGCTATAGTGACTCCATTTACGTCACTACACTTGCGATGGTACTTTGCTATCTCAATTGGCTTTTTATTTATACCTCCAGGAGAGCCATCCATTTATAATTATAATGCAATAATTGTGATAATTTAAAGCCCTTTGTCAATGCACAGAAAGATAAAGGTCTACCCCACACCTTGTCAGTCACAAGGGCTGTTTAACCATACTCGACCATGCCATTCATTGTGGGTTTGCGACGTAGGAGGCCCAAGACCGGATCCAGATATCACTCCCCCTGAATGTGAGCCGAGGCTGAGAATCCAACTCAGCTACAAATAATTCGATGCTCAAAACCATGGTGCTCATCTTTATTGGCAGCCCTGACCTAGCGTTCAACATTCCACATTTTCATGGCAGCAGCAAGTCTTGTCTATAAAACAAAACACTGATGACTTTTCACAAGTAGAACTCATTTTTTTGACCCAACAAAGCAGATAGGCACACAAAATAGAGGGAATGCAATCAAGGGTGCAAACAATAATGCAAATTATCAGCCAAAGACAATTTTCATACAATCCCGAAAAAAAACAAACACATATTTGGATCGAAATTTGTCATTTAGAAGGGTAAATGATAAGTGTCCAGCACGGGTGTGCGTTTCATAGTCAATGGCGACGCAGCTGAGAATATCACCTCGTTTAATCACGGGTGGCTGCCCAAATTTGAACCCAGGATCTCTGTGGTGCTCTCATAACGAGCCCTCCACCCATTCGACCTCAAAGCAACCCAGTCAGCTCCAATATAAATTTTACGACTGCAGTCTCTGGCCAGTGCGAGCACCATCAAGTCGGGGGTTATGAAGCAAAATTATCAGCGCTCTGATTAGATGTCCCAGCAGCAAGGCTTGAGTTAGCGTCGACAGCAACATTCCAAGGCACTGCTGCTGCAGAGATAAATTAAGGTAACTTGGCATATTGTGTCTGGCACTTTAGACTAAATCACCTTTGGACTCAAAGTGGTAAAGTAATGTGATGGCATAGGGTAAAAACAAACCCTATGCCTAGAGTAAATTTATTTTAATCGATTTTTGTTTAATTCTATGTCTTTGCATTGTTGCATTTTTTTTATTACCTCCTAATTGTATTCCAACTGTGATATTGGCCGGCATTGTGGAATGACCTAGAAGTGACACTGCAAGGCCTTTACACTCTTAAAATGCCAAAGCGTCTCGCTGTTCAAACCATTTTAGTGCACAGCAACTTCCCATTAGCTGCCTTGAGCCAGTGCGTGTGGATATCTAGGTGGGGGCCAGCATCTCCACAGGAAGATGTCACTGCTGGCTCCCTACATGGTACTCAACTCACGTTCTTGACCTCCACAGAAACGATTTTCTCCGTTGAGACTCCAATCATTATGAGAACTCACAAACGTCTGACCGAGAGTCACACGCTTTACCATAAGTGCAATGCAGCTGCATAACTGTTGTACGGTCAACACAAATATAGATTCACACACAAACTGAGTTAAAGAGAACCCACGAGGACCTCAGACGTCTCACTTTGTTTGCGGTGCGGCCTCACTCGACACCACGGCATGGCCTCCCTGGCGTAATTTAAAAGTTAATGATTCGTAGCAACCGACGTGTTAAAATGCACAGTGTTATTTTAGTTCCCCAGTGAGCCGGTAAATTGGTACTACCCCTCCCTCGCCTCGTAACCACCCCCCCCCCTCCCTATTAGGAAATTCGGCCCGAAAAAAATGACCTTCGCATAGAGTCAGCAGGAGATTGATGCGGGCAAGAGAAGGGATTAAGGGCTGGAGTTCGCTGTGGAAATTAGCGTCGCACAAATCCACTCGAAAGCGGCGCTGACACACCCAGTACGGCGATGCATTCTTGTAAAATGCAAAACTCTAACGAAAAGGTGGGCTAACCAGGGAAAGATCATCGTGTGGTAAGCCATACAATCTGGGTGGTCTAGCAGCAGAGGGTTTTAAGGAAAACCGCTTGGTTGGTTCGATTAAAGATGTTGAATCGGTGATATTGTTGGTTTTCGTAGCCAGTGAACGGGAACACGTACACCAAGCTCTCAAGATGAATGGATATTCAGACTACACAATCCATAAAGCTATCACCCCAACCGTTGGGAAAGAACCATCTGAGGACCCAATCAAAACCATCACCTTGCCATACATAGCAGGGGTAACTAAAAATATTTCCAAAGTCATGAGCAAACACAAGATCTGTGAAGGATGTGATCCCTGACATGCAATACCCCAGCGTCTACAAACTAAGCTGTGTCTGCGGCAGTAGTTACATCAGGGAAACTATGCGACATGTCTCGGACAGTGTTCGTGAACATAAGGCAGATCTGAAACACGGTAGGACCAATACCTCCGCCGTGGCAGATCATTGCTTTAATGCGGTGGGCTCACACAAAATTGATTTCTCCAAGACGAAGGTACTTTGCAAACCCACTGGCTATCAACAAAGATTCGTTATATGAAGCCATCCAGATATACAGACACAATTTCAACCGGGAAGATGGGTACAAACTGAGCAATCATTGGAAGGACGTTATCAACAAGTTTAAGTCATAACTGGCTGTGATGTTCCCATCTTACCCCCTTCCGATATTAGTTGTGCTTTACGTCCATTTCAAACTTCACAGGGTTCACACCAACACAGCCTCTTCACGCGCCGAGCCCTTGGTTGCGGCTCTGCGATCTGCCATTAACATTCACCTGGCAGCCCCTCTGATTGGTGGAAAACCAACCACCGTCAGGCTGGCTGCCCACCACTTGCATTAACATTGGCTGCTGACATTTGGGCTACGCCCATTTCAAACCCTGATAAACAGTTTGCCTGAGAAGCTAACCCCCCTTTTCCTGAAGACGACCGCTTGTGTTGCGATCGAAACGTCGTAGTTTTGGTTTTTGTTATTTTCTATTAACCTATCTACGTGACTTTACCGAAAGACCCAAAGAATATGAATTTCTGCAGTCACGAAAGCTTTAAGTCAAGATCTATCAGTCAACTCTGTGCATCATCTTGGGGACTCAACAGTTGGTGTGTTACGGATAAACTGGCCCATTCCAGAGGAATGTGGAATTTCTACCACTTCCTCAGGATCACCAATAGAAATGCCCACTGGCCAATGCACATTAAAGTCCACAGACACTTTGAATTTGATTTAAGATGTATAACAATTACATTTCTGTTATCGGGAGACACCATTAGGGACGTAATGAGACACAATTAGAGGTGCAATGATTCACACCCCCAACAAACTGAAGAATCCATGCGACTCCAGCTCGCAATTAGATTTAAGGATCACACTTTGCTTTTAACACTGTGCTGATTTGAGTGGCCCCTAGTGGCTGCAGGGGTGATGTAAACATAAAATATAGACGTAAGGCTTTCACGGCCAATATTATAATTAATTAAACACGAGAATTAAACTTTTAGAGCACTACAATACTGGAACAACCTCCTGGAGGCAATCCACACACCCGACTCCGTCGCTACATTGAAATCACAACGCATCTCTTCGCACTTGCATATAACTAACTCACAGCCACAACTTGCTTTTGCCTTTCTATTTAAACAACCGTAGATAGTTCGTGGATATATAAATACTTTTTCTCATTGTTTAAAATTCTCTAATTTGATGTTGAGCATGAATGTAATGGTGCTTTGAGTGGCAGATCTGTGCGAGGACGAGACAAGACCTGACAATAACGATTTTAATCGCCTGCTTGCTTTTCAGCATTCGACATTTTTTCCCGTAGCGTGACAACATGATCTCA